CCTGCCAGAACGCATTTCAAACATTCTTGATATAGCTTGTAGGTGTCACGATGATTATGAGATCTACTAGATTATTATGGACAAAATCAAAATGTGATTGTGAAAGTTTTCAGTAGCTAAAGCAGTACAATAAAGCCATGTATTCAAATCCAACTATTCCTTCTGTTGCTACTTACAAGCGAGATTTTTCAGTGACCAGAGTAGACATTTTCCTTTTTAGACCCAATGCTACAATTACAGATATGCCGGGACGTCAAGCAAACATCATTTCTCATCAAAAATCTCGCTTAATACAATTGATGAGCGTACATCAGTGACAATGCCCAACTTCAAGAATCAAGATTAGCTTCCAAAAAATTTATTCAGTCGAAAGCATTTAGACTATAAGATAGACCTGGGGACTTGGCGAATGATTGCTCTCATTGTGAAGTTGGAAAAAAATAGGCAAAATAATGAACTTGACATACCTCCCAAGCTAACCAGCGCAAGCTCCACGCAGTGTTCAGGGAAAGAAATCCGGGTAATGAGCCAGGAGCACAGCAACAACAGCCAGTTCCTTGCGTTTGATCGTCAGATATCGCTTCCACCTATAAGATGCATTCAAGGTAACCGAAAAAACCATAGAGGTGATAGTGAGAAAAATTCCATGTATCTCTTGTCAGCAACTTTCATTACCTTAACTTCAGGTAATGAGAGTTGCTGACAAGAGATACATGGAATTCCAAAAACAATAGAAAGAAGAACTAATTCAAGCAAGTTACCTCTCTCTGATGACAATATGTGCCGCGGAACTCTAATCCACGTAGCTGGAAAGTGACAAACCCGTTGCCCACCTCAATTATATGTACCAGGCAATTGAGGTAAAAGCTGCAACGAGAGCATTCAATGAAGAGTTTTCAAAAAGGCATCAAAAGTAAGTGAAGAGCAATTAACCTTGCAAGAATGAAGCAATCGCCAGGTTGCACACTCGTAGCCCATCTACCCATCTGCAAGTCACCAGCTAAGCTTTTTTGAAGGCTCCTGGAATAAATCTACAGATTAATGTTCATAAGTACCCAAAGTTTATCATACCTCGTCAAATGCTCGTAGAACACAGCGTTCAGATTGCTATCATCCAACATTGGTCCACGATCAATTTGTGAAGCTGCAAATACACATACATGAACGTTTCTAAGAAACTGTGGATAGCGCACTCACCTAGAGTAGTATTGGAGGCATCACTACGCTTGGTATTATAATCTCGTTCCCAAAATTTTACTGGACGGACATAAGATGTGGTAAAGAAGGAAGAGCCTTCAAAGAAGACGTAGAAGTATATCGATAGAAAAATAGAAGAAGAAATTACCCAGAAATGGATTTAGAGGTGCACTGATGAGGCTCGAGATAACAGTTTGAGTCCATATTAGAGCGGAGTGAGGTATAGAAAAGGGCTAAAAAGCAAGATCAGGATAAATATTGGCAATAGTGATAGTGATATGCAGATACCTGAGCAAAAGCATGGAAAGCTGATCCCCAGCTGATCTGCCATGGTGCCACATACGCCATGACAAAGCTCATCTTTAGATATAGTTCCAGCCATTTCGGGTAAAATACAATAAGCAAAT